GACTTTAATTCCGAATGATTTCATTCAGATTTATTTAATTCTGACTGAGAAGCCATCATGTAACCGCACCCATTGTTGCATAATAGCTGATAGGTTCAGGGATTGCATTTTAGCCAATGTGCCCAGTACTTTGGCACTCCATATGAACTATTAAATGCTTAATACAAAAACCTTGTACCATTTCCTCCAAATTCTGCATACATATACAGATATCTGTCTATTGACATTACTAATTACTTATTACTTATATACTTATATTAATTAATTATTCATGATCATGTTTTTCCTCACACATTCCTCAGTAACTACTCACATTTATGTGTACTGGATTTTAAAGTGTCACCATTTTATCTGTGAACAATGACAGCATCTCAATTTGTATATGCAGATGTTTTTATGTTAAAAATTTGTTTCCTAAAGTTTCCTAAATATTTCATGGTGCGACACAATTTCACACAGCTCAGACCAAAGAAGATTGGCAACAGTAAGCAATTTATCGACCATGTTGTCATTTCACTCTGCACCACTTTGGAGTAGTCCACTGCTGAAGTTCAAGTTGGCATAGGTTGTCATGTTGACATAGGTATCATTACTGGTATGGTCAGAGTGTTTTTTGTTTTTACCTTTTTACTACAGACAGACTTTTCATTCACACAAACGGTGACACTCTTAGATGTCTGCGTCTCTTCTAGCTTCACTTAAATGGCCAATTTGTGTGACACACAAATCACATCCCCCCCCCCCCCCCCCTTCCCTTGAGTGCTCAATCAGTTGTGACTAATTTTAGCTAATACCCCCTACCTGTCTCGTTATGCTAAGCAGAACAATAGCTCCAGATAAAAATAATTTCTCCCCAGTCTTAATCAGACAGCATTTACAGGTAAAAGCAACGACAAACAAGCCAGGAAAAACCATGAAAGACACATCTAAGGGAATGTACAGTAAGTGGTGTGAGGGGGGTGGGTGAGGGGGAGAAGGCCACTTTCATTTTTCTCTTGTCCTCTTGACATGAAATCAGTGATGACTTCAATGAAAGGCACACTCAGGAAAGCCTCTCAGCAGGCACTCTAGGCCGACTTACAAGGGCTAATGTTCCTCTGAGACATGGCATTGTCGTTGGCTGTACAGGAGGACAGTGATGCCTTTTCAGTGTGGCAGGCAGAAGTGGGGAGGGATGGGAGGACGGCGTGTCGCCCAGTGTAGGTAGATAATTGGTGACAGAAAGTGTCTGCAGAGCCGGTGCAGCAAGGGGAACAGCAATGACAAATAGGAGTGCTCATAAGCCCAATGCAATATCATCAGGACTGTGTGTGTGTGTGTGTGTGTGTGTGTGTGTGTGTGTGTGTGTGTGTGTGTGTGTGTGTGTGAGAGAGAGACCCATGCAAACCACAAGAGAAAGGAACATGAGACTTTAGGAAGCACACCACTGTAATACAACAACATTACAATAGCTTTCACAGCCTGATGTAATTCTCTGGCATTTTTCCTCCATATCAACAATTCATAATCCAACATGGTGTAATTATTCAGCTTTTGCTCCAATTAAGTATTGATTCTTAGCAGATGGTTATGGGTGTATAGGGTTGTGATGAATTTTTGCATATAAACGCAATTTCACTCATGTAGAACAATTTCAGCCCCACAAATGAAAAAGAAACGGCACAGGTGCGTGTTTTGGAAGCGGTTTGTGGGAGATGTTGTAAATGCTGGGAAAAAACTCCTGCCTTTGAAATTTAAACCCCAGCTCGCTTAAGTTCTGATATTGTTCTGTCTTTGAGTATCCTTGGGCATTTTGGTGCAGAGAAGGTACCCTGAGGACACACATAGGCAGACAAAGCAAACTAGTTTTAAAAACAGAAAGTACAGATTGTTCATGTTGTGGGCTTCAATTTTAAATCAAAGTGTGCAACATTTTTTCTTTACTGCGTACAGGACTGGTTGCACAACAGAGATCATGGATTTCCACAGTTTTCCCCCAGGGTAATGTGGTTTGCACATTTGATTATTGTTACGGTATTTGGGGAATGCCATCTCCCAGATATTCTGGGTAGGTAAATGTGATGATGTCTCAATCCAGTTTTTGCCCCTGATCCCAGTCATTAAATTGTAAGTATCTGCTGATACTGAGTCATGATCCTAGACTTCTATTTTCCCAGATAATACAGCCACACAGTACACACTTCAAGGACTTTAAAGATTTTGTTTTCAAAATAATAAACCTTCTCCTTAATCTTTTTGGCCTTGTCAAGGGAGTATTTCTAAGTTTTTGTTGCTTCAGTACAGCCTTGCCCAAGTTAGCCTCCCTGAGCAAACTGTATTCCGTTGTGTGTTTGTTTTTGTCATCTGTACATCTTTTGGGTGGGGTAGTCCACATCAAGAAATTATTCTTACTGGCCTTTTGCTTGCAGGGCTTTTGTTACACTTTGTTGAGGTGTGGTGAGTGTGGTTCTCGTGGCTGCTCCTGCTCAGCCCGTCTCTCTTCTGAGCTGGGTGGTGAAACACCATGCGCCATAGCTGACAACAAAATGCACTTTTACAATAAGATGAAATGAAACAAGTGCTCGTAACTTCGGTAAATAACATAATAAACTGTCTCATACGACATTTTGCTGTTGTTTATGGTGTGTGGTGTTTGGCAGCAGGTGGGGTGTGCAGTGGAGGAGAGACGGAGAGTTGACGGCAGCACCTGTATGAAGGTGCCTCATTATAGCTCAGTGTAGCCAATCAGGTAAATAATTCCCTGATCGTTTCCGAGCTGACCTTTGAGATAGCATTGGGGCTGACTGGTAAATGTTGATGTTTAAAAGCATAAAGGCCCAGTCACTCAAGCATAAAAAACTATGAATTCAATTAATTTCAATGGATTTTTTTGACCAGTGGATTCAGCAGTCCTCTGCATGTTTTACACATTTCACAATCTTTCTCACTTTCTGTATTTTTTCCTTTTTATATGGTATTTGTAGCACTTGATGTAGCTTCCACTAGCCTTGCATTATCACACCCAGCCATTTGCAGTCTGAAAAATCCCTGCACAATTTCTGTGAATGGTGAGCAACCTGAGGTGCCCTCCAATCAAATTTCCCCCTCTCCTCTTTCTGACAAGTGGAGGAGACATCCAGTGGCCCTCCTAATGAATTCCCACAAGCTCACTGTCTGCTTCTGGCAACATGCTCCCCATTTCTATTAGCCGTCCACTGAGTCAGGGGGAGGTTTAGGAGGAGTCTACGACCGGGAGAGAGGAGAGAGGAATTGACTGCAAGATCCCTGAAAAAGAAGTAGGCGGGGGTGAGAAGGTTGAAATAGACAAAGTGTGTGTGTGTGTGTTGAGACAGTGCAGCTGCTTAACGCCATGCTAATGGTCATCTCCTCTCTCCTCCATGGCTGTTCCCTGAAGAAGAGTACCTCTGCTCCCCAAGAGACATGATACTTAGTTGTATGGAGCTCTGTTTGTTTTCAGAAATTACAAAACAGCTCATTTTCACTCTTCTCTTTCCCACAACATTTCCAGATGGATATGGTCGCTTTCCTCCCTCTCCTTCCTCCTTCTCTTGTTCCCTCTTTCCATGTAAATGAGGCTTAATTGGCTGGGGGTAAAAACACCAAGTGGCCCGTGTGTGTCACATCACCAACCGAGAAAACCTTGAAGCTGACCCGGGGGCTTGGGCTCCATCTCACACACACATATTCCTCTGTTGTACCTCTCTCTTTGTGAGGACCATCCATGGATTCCCCAGCTCATAAATTAAATGTTGACCATCTGAACGTCATTCTTAACCTCAACTCTCAACCTAGCTTTAACCGAATCCTAATTCAAAATATAACTAGTAGTAATTTTCCTTTAAAACAACATCTTTTAGGACTTGTTAATATGTCCACAATTCTAGCTCATAAACTGGTTCTCACAAAGATAGAAGCACTCGAGCACATACATACACACACACACACACACACACACACACACACACACACTGTTCAGCAAGCTGTTGCCTTTCCACCCTATTGTTAGCAAAGTTCCTTTTCCTGCAGTGTGTTGTTTCTAATTAGACCAAGACAGCCGGCTCTGCCTCATGTGAAGCACGCTTGCACACACTCACACAAACACACATGCTTTGCCAGGTGGCCGGTTTGCCCACAACACTCACCCTTGAGAGCTGAGCCCGTGGGAAGTCGAGCAAGCACAGGTGAACTGTGTGCAGCTCGGGCAAGGAAAGATGCGATGAATTTTTGATGCATGTGCAAAACGCAACGTGTAAAGGTTTCTTTAATTGTAGTTACTGTGAAATTTCAATGCTATATTTAGTTTTATTTTTCTCACTTGTGTCATTATATCTATTAATGGTTGGCTGTGGAACAGAGTGTCTGTTTAAAAACTCTGAAAATGGTGTTTTATATTATATAAGTATTAGGCCTTAAAAGTCAATTAATAGTCAAGTTAAATTTGAATTTGTGAGGTCTCAATTGATTTATCTATTTTTTAATATCTTTTTTATCAAATTGAGTCAAGCTCTGCTGCATTAAATTCCACATTTCTGATATTAAAAAAATCCACCACTGAACCTAAAAATCAGTCTTACATTTGGCTCAGTGTGATCTTAAAAAGGTCTTTAAGTGTTAACGTGTCTGATACCTGACACCATGTGGGACTGCAGCAGATCTTGCAAGAATATTTTAACATTGTGGGAAAAACACATGGCGTTTGAGGAGATTAACACTGCTCTAATATTTGTTAGATGTGTTGCTACAGCCAGGTGGTGGTTCAGTTAGCTTAGCTTAGCATAACATAGAGACATAGAGATAAACTCACCAAAAAACTCTTTATACCTCGTGTATTTAATCTTTACAAAAACTGAAGTTTAAAAATGACAACTTCCCAGGAAGCGTGATTAGGGACTGTTTCTTGCAACAACCTTCTGGCGTCTGTGCTTGCCCGGCAACAGCGAATGAAATAACGAGACAAATTTCCAGTCATTTATTTGCGTGCCTTGTTTTCTCTCTTTCAGGTAAGCAGGACTACAAAAAGACAAAGACAGCCTTGAAGCTCACACGACTGAAAGCTGAAGCAAAGAAGAATTCCTCTGGATTCAGGGTAGGAAATACTTTCTCTGTATGACTTCTGAAGTCTGTATCTACATGTCTTCAACTATCTCTGCTTGCCTGTCTGTCTTGGCTCATCTGTGATTTTTTTCCTTGTCTTTCCGTCTGCCAACCATCTTTCCGTTTGTGTGTCTGGCTGCCTGTTTGAGAGTGCGTCTCACTAGATCACTTTTCATATCCCAGACTCTTAGCTCTCTTACAACCTACAGTATGTCTTTGGGGAAAATAATATATATCCACCTGAAATAATGTGATGTGGCCCCCTGCCTAGCCTTTAAAGATCCGCTCTAGTATTGAAAACCATTGTTTGGAAAAGGAAAGAATGGGAGAGTCCTCCATAGAATAAAGTTTACAATACTCTGTCATGTCTACAAAAAAAGAAGAAGGCAGCTTTTTAACACACAGTGAATTCCTAGAAGGATTGAAAATCAAGGGTTTCCTTATTCTTTTAATGGTGAAGAAGCACTGGAAGAGAGACGGTGAGTGAGAAGTGGGAAATATAAAGAGCAAGAAGGAATAAGAAGGTGATAAGATGGAGGTAGGTGAAGTGGAAGTAAAGGGAGGTGAGGGTGTTGCTAGGATAGAAAAGTGTGTCTCTCTCTGTTGCTTTGTCACACTGCAGCGATTAGGAGCTGTTGGGCAGGCAAAGATGGATGACTCCACGTTTATCACTCTAGCAAATGTGCCACTGCTGTTTATGCTTTTCCGTATTCAGCTGGCTTACCAATAAACACTTTTACTATTTCAAGGTCTCCTCATATAGAGTAAGCCCATGCCAGGGAAATAGCTTGTGAATCTACCGTCATAGGTTCTTAAATCCTCTTTGAAATTGCAGATACCATCACATGAAATCAGGTCCTCAAGTGTTTTTTTTTTTATAGCTGTTAAAAATAAAAATCATTTTCAAACATAATTCAGATACATTTTCTTTTTTTCTGTTGATTTTCCCTTCGTGGCGTTGAGAATTGGTTGTGTTTACAGTAAATCAAAAGCCAAAAGGCTTCACTTCCTCATTAAGCCTCAGTTGGCACGTAGTACACAGAGATGAACAAAATCATAGTGAGGATTAAACACTGGGTGAAATGGTCAGGTTTTAAAATATGCATCTCTTAGACACGCAAGGCCTCATTAAGCACGTCTTTAATCCAATTAGATTAGTCCATATCTTGAAATATTGATATTGCTTATGAATAATTCAGGTTTTTCACGCCCAAGATGAGGGGAATTTTCAGAGGTCGGATTAAAAATACCTCTGGGACGAGGATATTAAACTGACTTAGACCCTTTGGCCCCGAGTTTGATTGAAATTCAGCCCAAATGTAATGGATATTTGGTCACGCTTGCTTTCCCATCGAGTCCTTTTAGCGTTATATAAAGTTGTGATTTTTACACTCTCTGTGGCGACAGTAGAAAACCCCCCTCTTTGTCTCTGAACCTTTGGTTGACAGCAATGATTTGGCTGCAGTTTTTGTAGACATGTTGCTATGCGCATTAAGTCTCTTCTCTTTCTCCCTCTCTCACAACGTCCCTGGTTGAGATGCTGGTCTCAGATGCAGCTGGCATCTCAGAAGGACCAGCAGACATGTGGGCACAGAGAATCTGGCAGCTGCCAGGGCAGGCTGCCTTGGGGCTGTCCTAGTAGCAGGGCAGTCTGGGTAAGTTGGCAGAGAAAAGGATGGAGAGACTCAGAGAGAAAAAGTGAGAGAGGGAGAGGGAGAACGTCTGTTCCCACAACAGCGATCAGTTGTCGGGCTGCATGAAACACTGACCTCAGAAGTGGCGTAAACCAGCCACTTGTTGTATCTGTGTGTGTTCTTAATCACACGTGTCGTCACGGTGTGTTTACAGAAGTACCTTGTTACTGCCTGAATGCAAGCATGGACATATTTTCTGTCCCGCTCATTTAAACCCTGGATTGCATGGGGTCACGATAGCAGAGATGAAGAAACTGGCAGGAAGTCGTCAGTTTGCCCAGAGAAGAGGAAGCGCCTTCGAAGTAGCTCCAGCACACTAGCTTGCAGCACAGGAAACAAGCCTGCTGCCTTGTCTAATTGGCACACTAGCCTTCTGTTCAGTCCTGCACTGTTTTCCCTCGGTCTTATTTACAGTAACTGCTGAGCCTAAAAGTTGGGGAAAAAATTGCTTCTGGAATTGGCGGAGGATGGAGGCTACAGATAATGACTCTGGGTAACTACCAGCTGTCATTTGTGAATGTATGTTGTGTGAATGTTGACTGTAAAGAATGTTATTTTTTTAATGTTGCATATTTTTTTGTCTTTTGTAATTTCACCCAATTTGTACAATTCAGTTTTTGCGAGATGGAGATAAACATGGGTTCTTACAAATATGACTTGTGTCATGAAGCTGCTAGTTTGGTCTGGAATAGAGATTTAGTTTAGGCTGGTTTTGCTTGCGATAACTAGCTCATTTACTAAGCAGTTAATTTTGAAGACAGAAAATTGCAAGATGGCATAAAAAAAAAATAGTGCTCCACTGACTCAGTGAGCTTTAGCGCCACATTTCAGCACGATCCACTTAGAGGTGGTGAATTTTTAATGTCTGGGGACGTAAATGTCTTGACTTTTGGTTGGCTTTGCTTACTGACAGCCTGCTAGCTGCATTAACATGTGTCCACTGCGCACCCTCTGGGGTCTACTAGCGGGAACATAGTGGTCACCCTCTGGTCTCCCCCCAGGTAGCCTCAGTAAGTAAACGGCTTCATTTTGAGCCTTGCTGACACATCTAACAGTGCTAACATTGTTAATATAGTTAAAATTGCTAAAGGGGGTTTGTGGCTGGGGGGAGACTGGAGGGTGGGCACACTGTTTCCATAGCAATGCTGTTGGGTCTGGACGGTGAGTTAGTGGCACCACTAGCCAGCCACTTGCAGCAAACTGAAGAATAGCAAAATTAACCTAACATGCATGCATAACGGGTCAAAAATACTCCTAACGGATAACCATTGACATCCCTAGTTTGGAAGGAGCATTTCTGATAAACCACTACAGTAATTATTTAGCAGTGTCATCATTGCTAATAAACTCTCCAGTCAAAAAGTATCAGTATAAACTGTGAGGGATGCTGCGCTGAAAACTGCCAAACTGTAGCATCTGCTTCAGACTCTCGTTGAGGCAGACTGGATCTGTTATCTGTTCTGGCCATTAGCTTTATGAGGCTTATTCACTCTTTTTAGTTGGTTTGGAGCGTTGACAGATAGCACAGGGGAATTTGTAGATTTTATGGCCTTTTATGGCATTTAATTTACAGTAAGCTTTGTGAAAATACTCTGTGAGTTGTGATAGTGGTAATAAGACCTTTTCTGCTCTTTAAGCATCCTTAAAGCATGCGGAAAGGGAAGGGTTGTATTTAAAAAAGGGGTGTATGTAAAAGGCACGTTTGTTTCAGATAACATAATCAGCCAGCAAAAAGTGGATGTAGGTTACGGCATGTAGCTATTTTTTTTTTTCATACATTATGTTAGTTCTTTTATTGTAGGAGTGTGATAGCAGCTAATGATATGATATGAAACACTAGTGCTGTAATGATTTGTCAAATATTTGATCAGTTGAATGTAAGAAAATTGAAACCAAGTAATCGTATTGAGTTGACTTTTTGACCATTGGTGATATAAAACAACCAGTTTTTTAACCTTTCGCTCTGGGAAAATGGTGATAGGCATTTTCCACTATTTTCTGACGTAGCCATAATAATTTATCTGGAAAAAAATCAATAGATTAATGAACTGATATTGAAAAATAATCATTAGGATATCAAATAAATGAGTGTGAAAGTATGAAGGATAGATGTATTTGCTGATTTCTGTTTACAAGTATGTTAAGTCACCTTTTACAGCCATCAAGCCACCAATAAAAACTAAAATCATCAGCAACTTTCATTTAACAAGTCATAAATACAACCTAATGGCTGGTTATCTGTCGCTGCGACTTGTACAGATGAGACCTGCTTACCAACCGCAGCCCAAATGCACCAACAGTTGTTTGTAGCTCGTGTCTATCTGCCACCCACATACAGCCACAGACACACCGAATCTCTCTTGCTTAGCACGTAGGCACATACAGACTGACACACACACACATGCACATGCACACACTTGCGCACACAAACAAACCCAGGAGGAGAATAAAAGGCGGACCAGATGAGGGGATGTCTGCTGAGCTGTGGCTTGTCGCCAGGGTGACAGGGACCCAGCTCCCAGCATGCCGAGTGTGCTGCAGCTGCCGCCGGTGCTGAGAGAGCCACATGATGAAGATGATGATGCTTGGGCCCCATCCAGGGGTCTCCATCAGAATGTGGGCAGAGAGGCTGTGTGTTTGTGTCTGAGTATGTGTGGATATGTGAGTGGGCGCGCATAAATGTGTTTGTGAGACAAGGCAAGAGTCAACACAGTGGGCCACTCTCCTCGAAAACAATGATCTCAATCAAGTGCAGGTGCTTCCTACAACTCAAGTGTTTTCACCAAAAACCCTTCCAGCTTGTTTTCATAGACAAGTCACTATAACCAGCTGTTCTCTTTCTCTCTGAAACCTGAGGCAGAGGAAGGAAAGAGAAACCTGGATTGCGATTTCGTTGGTGCTTTTGTTTCAGCGGCAATTTAGCGAAATGCTTACCTGCGTCACAAGCTCAACATTTTCTTTGCGATATTGTCGGCAGAATTACAAACGCCTCCCTTTGTCATGTTTTTCAAAGCTGCGAGAGAACACAAGAAAAAGCGGAAAACAATCAAGCCCCCGTGATTTGATAACAGTTCTCTTTTCTCCGAGGCCTAGGCAAAATAGAAAAGTAAATCAAGCAGTGGGAGCCTGGCGGTTAATATATGAAACTAAAGTGCATGAAATTTAAAAGTTTTCCAATTAAGCAAGGACTTAAAGCTGTTTGGAGGCTGCCGGGATGGAGATAAATGTGGGCTGAGGCTAATGAAGACCAATGCCGCTGATGACTAGGCACTACAACATGTACACAGATAGCTGTGGA